AGAAGTTAAAGAACTCTGAGAATGGAAGAAACTAAAAACCACAGAGGGAAAGAGAGGTGAGCTCCCGAAAGGCAGCTTACCTCCCCACATCCACCCTCTGCTTAGGGCTTCTCATCCAAGGCTTTGCTGTGTCTTTAAGTCTTTGTTCACCTAGGATGGCTGGTTCAGACACTGGAAGCCAGGAGCCTGCATGAAAGTCTTGAGGCTGACATAGTCCTTGTGCAATAACCATGTGCTCACATCCCCTCATTTTGAGCTGTGAGGAAGAAGGAAAGGACAGGGATAGAAATATCTGTCACCTCAACTTCATGTAGAGATTTCTAGCTATGGTGTGAGTGTGCTTGGGAGAGGGAGGGCTGAGACCTGGCAATGGAAGGGGAGGATGGGAGAGGGCTATTTCTTCCTCTCCAAGGCAGCAAGGGCTTGGACAAAGGTTCCCCGGCTCCTTTGATGAGCGATTCACCACCTTCAACTGATAGGCTGATGGAGGTGTTTGCCCTAGACCGAGCTCCCATCCTGGCTTTGCTACCAGCGCTGACCTTTAGAATCTCAGGCTCTAGAGACTTGAGATATCTAGTTGGTCTCTCTCACCTCACACCTTTTGCTCCATGACTTGGGGAAGGTCAGTCCAGGGCTCAGTAATTAAAGGGGTGGGGCTGGATGACCTCAGGCTGCCCCCGGGCCTTCACCTCTGAATCATCTCCCGAGTGGGTGGGGTTTGCCTTAGCACTGGTAAGTAAGAATGTCTGTGGTGAGCGTCCCTTCTGAAAACTTACCACCCGCCATCTTGGAGCTTTGTTAAGGGCGATGACTCTCAGATTGAATGGGGTTTCCTTATTTGGGGAAATTAAAAAATTTCAGAAGCCTTGTGGGATTTTTCTTGCCTTTGGCTAGGTTACAAGGTCCTACAAGCTGGAGGGGTTTCTGAGGGAGATCACTCTAGGCCTTCTGGCTGGTTTTTCTGCAGTTTTCAGAGAGCTCAGGCCTGTCCTCTGGTTCAGGTGGTTGGAGGGAGGGGAGCATGGGTGGCCGGCAGTACGACCTGGGCTTCTCTTCCGTAGGGGAACCTGCTGATTCGGTTACCTGGGGGTGGTGTGCAATCACACTTTTATTTATGTCACCACCAGGGTGTCCGGTTGGACTCCCCTTTCATCGTCTCCAAAGGCAGCTGTGACAGCGGGTGGCCGATCTTTGGAGGTGCCTAAAGACTTGGAGTGGTGGTCGAGTGGCTGGCAGCGTGGCCCTGCTAGCTGTCGGTGGGGTTCTTGAGAACTCTAAGGGTGAAGGACTTGAGGCTTGTTTTCACCGGAGAGTTAGAAGCCGTCTGGGACGCTGAGCACAACCCACTGTGTGCCACACGGTTTGGCCTTCGGGGCGGGCCTCTTGCTCGTAATCTGTAATGGCCACCCTCCCTCCCGGCAGACACGCGCCGGCAGGGCAGACAGACAAGGGGAGCAGCCACCTGGGCGGGAGGCTGCGGGGTCTTTGTGCTTTTTCTCCCAGTGCGGAGGTGGGCGCTGGAGGACGGCTGGGGACAGCCCCCGGGAGTCCCGCCAGGACGCCGTAGTTGGGGAGAAGTGGAATCTCTTCTCCCCCTCGCAAGCCTCGCCCTCATCGTAATTCTTTTTATTTTTAATTTCGAGCCTTGTAAGGCATGCGGATGGGGTAGGAGCGTTCGAGCGACACGTTGCCAGCGGCGCAGCGCCCGCCCGCTCGCCCGCGTGGCCGGAGCCCCCAGCAAAGGACAGGCCGCGCGCCGCCCGCCGCACCAGACCCGCCGCCCACGGTCGCGGCCGCCCCGGGTCGCCGGGTCCACGCC